CCTAGTTTTATTCTTTTCTTAATATAATTAATAGTAATAACAATCACCCTCATTTTCTTATTTAATTTTATCTGCTCAGATGTATATAATTGATTATTTGATTCTCTCTTATATACTACGTAGTACGTATTGTTTAGTCCGTACATTTGATTTTATATTATTTATTTATAATTTTTATATGTGTATGTGTACATATATGTATATATAAAAACTAGATTAGCTAATTAAACTTTAAGATGATTTTATTGTTTCAAAATGTTTAAAATTATGACATGTTAATAAATTAATTAGCTTCCGTCAAAGTTAACAGCAAATTTTACGGAAGGACTCGATTAATATAGATGAAATAGATTAAGAACTAAAATGATAGATATAATAGTTCGAGGACCAAAATGATATGGTGATGATAGTTCAAGGACCATTTATGCACTTTACTCTAACATATTATAAACTCCTTTGTTTTTACGGAGTACTACGTATTATTTTGCTTGCAAAACGCTATTCTCGAGTCTCGACTACTCCACTTTTAGTCATTTTTCTAGGCCTGGGATCGCTTCGGTTCTTGTTAAAATTCAATGGAACCATATTAAAAATTATAGGCGTTAAATTCGGTTCAATTCTAGTTAAAAATTTAGTTGTTAAATTCGGTTCGATTCTAGTTAAATTTGGTTCGGTTCTTACTTTTTTTCGGTTCCGTATACAAAATTTATTATCCTCCTAAAATGAACACATTTTATCTTCAATGATATAAAAAAATTCAAATTTTAAATCATGAAATTATGACCATTACATGATACATACATGATATCCCAATGTTCAAATATCACAAAAATATTCAAGTGCAAATATTAAGTTTAAACATAACAAAAACATAAAGTTTTAAAATAGACATCAATTATCAAGAAAAAAGGTTTAATAGCTCCAATGTACACATCCAATAGCAGGTAGTTCAACCCCAAAATAATATTCTTCTACTAGTAATGCACCATAAGTAAAATGTACGTAGTAATAAACTAACCGGTTTAATTTGTAATGAAAAGTATGTAGTATTCCTTTTTTAGGTGAACTCAAATAACAAATACAATTACAAACAAACAATAAATATAAAAGTGGACTAAAGTAGTAAAAATAACAACTACTCGGATTGGCTGGTCTACAATATATAAGGTATATTATGCAAGACAAATATTCATGACAAGAATTTTCCGCCTGGAACGCCGTTTGGCCACCTCCATTTGAGGTGCTTTCGGGTAGAATTTTGTGATGAGATTTTGTGAGCATGTTCTACATTAAGTGTAGATTATATCTACCAAATTTCAGCTTCAAATATAATCTGAAAGTGAGTTAAATAAAATATTGAAAAACATTGCATTTTTTATATGTATTTTGACGTAGTGTTTTTCAATAATTTATTTATTTCACTTCTCGATTAAATTTTAAGCTCAAATTTGGTAGACATAATCTATATTTCATATATAACAAGCTTACAAAATTTCATCAAAAATTTCCACTCAGAGGCACCTCAAATGAAGATTACTCATGCAACGTATAAGAAATTCGGTTCCTGCCTAGGAACCGGAACCGAACTGGAACCGAACCGGAACCGAACAGATCAAATACTATAGGAACCGAACTGAAAAAAACTGAAGTCCAAAAGTATAGGAACCGAACCGAACCGGAAAATTCGGTTCGGTTCGGATCGGTTTTCCCGGTTTTACGGTTCCAAGTCCCGGACCTACATTTTTCAATGACAAATACCAGTTGGTTTGTTATGGGTACTGGGTAGTACTAATAAAATCCGTATAAAGCACGCCAACTTGAGAGCATCAAACCCTAAAAATTAAACAGCAACCAATAAATTAAGTTTGTATCACAGAATATGATGGGATATAATCCCATTTGGTTACCATGTTTTTGGCTTATCAAGATTATCGATCAACTTTTTAACCAAACACGTGACTTTTGATTTCGTCCGCTGAGTTGTGTAATAATAAAAAAAAGTAAGATATGAGTAAACTTTCTGACTGTATTTGCTAATGTTACTGTAAAGTATCATTTTAACTATTTTTCATATATTTTTTAATTTGTTTTATTAAAAAATAAACATAATTTTTCATAAATCAGCAGAATCAGCTAATCCAACCACTTTAGCCAATTCATAAGTGTAAGTAGAATCGGGCCAATTTTAGTGATACCAATTCAAAGGGTTCTTTAAAAGTGGAAATTTGTAGTTAATATTATATTGAAAAGGTAAGAATAAATTAAATTAATTTATAACCACACAAACATTACTAAATCTAGTATGAGAAAATCTTAGGGATCATAAAAAAAGTTAAACAATTTTTTGTGGAAGAAAAGAAATAATATGTTGTACATGTACTTATTATTATTTTTCTCTTAATGCGCTAATTACCTCACCAATACATTCTCCAATTGAAATAGCTAGATTCAATCAATTTGATCGTTATTAAACAGGCTAAGCTCTCATGATCTCATCTAAAGCATTATCACACTCTTCGTATATATGTAACGTTTTCCATAAAGCTTACCCGGTTTTCTTTCATGAAACCAATTCATATTTAGTTTTTTGCCTCAGGGTAATATGCATTATCCTGCGTTTAAATGTATGTGTAAATTTTCATTTGATATATCTTATAGCTCGGTGTTAATTTCATATTAAATTCGTCAATACTTTATGAGCTTGTTTAATTGGGTGTTCCCTATTTTCAACTAGTGTTATCGACTAATTTTTTATCAAACATATAATTTTTACGGTCTCAAACAATATGAAACGTTTGAGGAGGAACATTGACACAAGAATGATTTAGGTATGTATTTACAATCTACTAATTGTGTGTGCTCTTCATTTTTGTATACAATTCATCCAAAGTACGATTTCTTCTTGCAGCCCATGTGTACACAAACAACTTGTAAGTGTTGTGTATACAGACATCTAATGTACGTGAATAACTAAAATCTATGTATACATAAGTAGTGCGTGTAATGTGTTTATAATGTTTTTTTTGTATTGGTGAGAACACAAAGGCGAGTTCTACACAAGCTATTAACACTAAATGACTGACTAGAAGATGTACAATAACGACATTAGTATAGACATAAGTGTAGATAGACTACTAATGTCTGCATACAGTTAACGTTTGCTAGTGCACCAACGGCTATTGTCTGTGTGTGTATCAGTGTTTTGAAAAGGGAAGCAAGAAAAAAAGGCTTAGCATATAGCAAAGGTGCTTCAAAGATAAATAACCAAAAAGGATCACTTGAAAAGCGAATCAAGAAGCAAAAGGTGAGTAATTATTTTATAGACATTAGTTGTCCGTTTACAATCATTATTTATTTGTGCTCAGAAAAAATAATTAAAACCATATCACAGAAAGTAGGTGTCTATGCATATACATTCCTTCTCATTGCACATACATTTGATCTGTGTGCACAGAGATTCGTCATCCTTGCACACGCGTCAAATGTATGCCTATACAACTAATTTTTGTCTATTTTTAAGTGGTACAAAATGTAGTTTTTTTGTTAATATGCATATGGAAAGAATGAAATGAACTGCTATTGTGGAAAAGAATGGAAATGGATGATGGATCCAAACCAATATTGTTGAAAGTACCACGCTAGTCACAATTGAATGATGATTTAAATTTGGGAAAACTATCAAATAAGCCCCCTAACTTTTCAAAAAAATCAATTAACCCCCTCTACTAAAAATACGTTCAATTGAACCCTCAAACACGTTTAAAAATGTCAATTCCTCTTTTTAGCTGATAGTGATCAAGTTACCGGTTTTTTTTGTACACCCTGGCAGACATATAATTTTTTCCATTTTCTTTTCTTTCCTCCACCTGCTATCTCCTTCGGGTTTCTCCTTCCACCTGCACTACCACCAAACTGTCAAATTCTTCCATTTTCTTTCTTCCATCTTCTTCCACCCACTCTTTCTTTTCCCCTTTCTTCTTTCTTTCTCCCACCCATTGTTCGTCGGCCGGCATTTCACCGTGCACTGACCGAGAAGAACTCAGTCTTCTCCATTGAAGCTCCTGGTCAGCAACACAAGTCGTTGTGGAACGCCGGTCGTTGTGGTCCGTCATGAATCCTACTTTGCCTCCTTTCACAGTGGTGATGAAGACTGGTCAGAGGGTTTTTTCTCTTCGTTAATTTGATGGATCTTCTTAGATACGAAGTGTTGGGCGAAGAAGTCGAGGGAGATGATGTTCTTGATGGTCTAGAGCCGTCAATAGAGGGAGAAGTGCTTTGGCGAGGATGGATTTCATGGGCTACTGTTCATCGTTCGCAATGGAGAATGAAAGGGAGGCAGATGAAATTTAGGGGCTGAGGGAGAAGACTTTGTTGAGGTTTTTTATTATTAGAAAAATGAAAAAAATGACATGGATATCCACATCAGCAACATTAATCGGGGAAACCGAGGAGTACCATATAAAGGTGCCATTTTGAACATATTTGTGATGTTCGGGTACTTAATTGATTGAACATTTTGTATGAGGGCTTAATTGATTTTTTTATAAAGTACAGAGGCCGATTTGATTGTTTTCTCTTTAAATTTTAATCTTTGTTTATGTTAAATTAATGTTATCCTTGACACATTGAAAAAAGATTTTATTTACAAAAACCAATCAAATTATCGGTACAGAAGCTATTTAACCAACGTGTAAAATGTGGTGTACAAATAGCGGGTATATGAAGCATCAGTGAGTTAATCCCAATGCCGAGAGCGATAGAACACTAATGGGAAGTTCTTCCGCGTACCGATATGCAGAGGTCGTTCCGCAACGTATCAATCATTGAATAGTGGGGTTCTGTAGGAGGTGGACCCACCAATGGATTAAAGCTGTCACAGCGAACTTCACTTGTATCGCTAGCTGACTCAGCGGCTATTCAAAACGTTTATCTTATCCCCTGCCCTTATAAATACCCCTCCGCCCTCCCTCTCATAAGCCTCCCCTGCATTTGATAAACAGAAATGGATTCTCTCTGCAATTCAGTTCGCGATTCGTATTCTCCCTTCGACGCTCTACTTTTTGGTATGTCTCTTCTTGCTCGGTTTCCTTTTAGATTTCAAACCGCTGAGCTCTTAATTTTGTCTCTGCTTAATGTCAATGGTAAAGATATGGATGATACTCTGTATTCGTCGAAGGTTGGAATTGGACAAGCATTGAAGAAGAATATCGACGGTAGGGTTCGATTTTTTTATTCACTGGTTTGTTTTACTATCAATGGTGATTTAAGCACAATTCTATCTGTTACGTTACTCTCTTTAATTTGTTGTTTAACTAGATTTTCTGGTAGAAAAATTCGGATTCGCCCGGTCTGAAGCGTCTGCTTTGCGCATTGAGCTCTTCAAAAAATATGGAAGCTCTCTCGCTGGATTAAGAGTACGAACTCAACTCTGCCAGGAACACAAACCATGATTACAAATATGCGCATCATATATAATAATAATATCTTGATTAGATCATTATGATTTATCTCACCCGTTCTAATTTTCTGTAAATGTTTGTCCCCCTCAGGCTCTAGGTTATGATATTGATGCAGATGAATATCACAGGTATGCAAACAATATTTTCATGTCATTTTAGTTGCTTCCGACTTGAATTTATGTATCCATTTTTAATGAGATGACTGGTGAGATTTATTGCTGCAATTTTGCATTCTCAATAGCTTCGTCCATGGAAGATTGCCGTACAATTTGATCAAACCAGACTGTGAATTGAAAAACCTTTTGTGCAGTATCAATCAACGTAAAATAGTAAGTTAATGCGCATAATTATACAAGAAATTGAAGGATGTGATGATTAAGGATTTATGTCAATTTTGTTAATGATTGTTATTGCGCTGGTCGTTAAAACAAACTGTAGATTTTTACAAATTCGGATAGAGTCCACGCCCTGAAAGTGTTAGATCGGCTTGGGATCAAGGATTGTTTCGAACAGATTATTTGTTTCGAAACAATGAATCCCAATCTATCGCTATCCTCTAGACCCGATGAGATTCCGGTAGTGTTGAAGCCAGCCATGGAGGCCATGCGTATTGCTCTTGACTCCGCCCATGTGGATCCAAAACGAACGGTATGCTTGCGGATGGTCTGATGCTCATTATTAATCAATCTTAGAAAGGCTTTCTTATGGAGACGGCAAAAAGACTCTTTATGTTTTCTTTAGAATTTATTAAAATAGGACTAAAAAGTTGTATATATTCAAACTTGGCAGTAATTATTCCTATTTTTGGAATAAAAAAATGACAGTCTTATTTTGTTATTTTCAAACTTTTTTACTCCTATTTAGGAATTTTTTCTTTTTTATTTTTTCATTTTTTGGAAAATCTTTATTTTTTCTTAATATTAAAGAAATAAATGGTTTGACATTCAGTGTCAGAAAATTCTCTAAATAGTCCTATATTGAAAATTTTCTAAAAACTCAACAGATTAAAAAATTCATAGAAAATCAGAGAAAATAAACTGGTTTTATCTTTTGGATTTTTAATTTATTGGGAGAGAATTCCTCAAATAGGACTACATGAAACTTTAATGGCTAAAAGAGGACTATAACTTCAAAATTCCTTAAATAGGACTAGCTTTCCCATTCTACCCTTGCTTTGTTGTATACAATTCATATTTCATTAATAATTAACATATAAAAGTAATAACATAACTTTATTGATAATACAAATGCACAACAAAATTAAAAACATGAAATAAATATTAAATAAAATTATTAAAAATAAAAAAAAATCGAAAAAAAAAAATTAAAAAAATTAAAAATTAAAATAAAATAAATAAATAAAATTAAAAAAGATTTAAAAAATATGCAGGCCCATGTTGCCACCTCAGCAACCTTCTAACACAATCAGCTCTGATCACTGAAAAAAATGCCAACATTTTTCAGAAATGTCATCTTAATGGCAGTTTTCGATAAAATTTTGACATTTTCAAAAAGTAAAAATGCCATCATCTTGGCATTTTCAGAGAACAAATGGCATTTTTAGCCGATCAGGTGAAACTTGGCTGGGAAGTGAGTGACACTGTGGGAAACACCTCCATACCTTAATTAATTTTTAAGGTGTTTTATCTATTTTTAAAATTTTTTATTTTTTATTTTTTTTTAGATTTTATTATTTTCCTTATTTTTTAAAAATATTTAAATTTTTTTTTATATTTTTTAATGAGTTTTTTATTATTTTTGTATTTATTACAAAATAAAAAATGATTTTCCTATTAAAGTTATGTAAGGGTATATTAGGAAGATAGAGTATACTTTAGTCCAATTTTGGGTAGATGAATAATATAGTCCTATTTGTGCATTTATGGATTAATTTAGTCCTATTTAAGGCTATTATCTCTAATGTATTTGGTTTTATCCTTCAGCTCTTTCTGGACGACAACGTGCAAAACATTGTTGCTGGAAATGCCGTCGGACTCCGAACAGCTCTGGTAAGTGATACTACGTATTAACATAGTTCCCGTTTTGATTGGATAGAAGTTTAAGAAAGTTAGAATAAAGTGGAATTACATAGTTATGATTGAGTAAGAAAAAGATAAATTGATGTTAGTCACATAAAACTTTTCAAAAAGAAAAATAAGAACTGTTTTTTTGACAGCCAGAAAAAGGAAGTGAGAAACTATTTTACGGGACAAGATACATTCTCATTACCATGAACCTCCATTTATGCCTCGTTATTTGATAATTAATCAAAGGTTACCTACTTGGAGCGCCTATGTTTAAGAAACCGGACAAAGAAGCGATCCGGCCATGTGACCGAGTCACGGGTCAACCTGGTCAACGCCATAAATCAGTTAACCATATAATAATAACAAACATAACATTGTATACAAAATTAAAATAAAAATAGGTATTTCATAATAATCAACTAACGATATACGGAGTACTTACTAAGCATTAGAAAGTTAAAACAATCTCATATTCACAAATACCACTTTAATCTTGTTATTTGTATTGTACATTTATTATTTAATTTGAAATGATTTTTATTCTTAAACAAACAAGTAGTGTATAAATATATTTCTTTTTGTCTTTTTAGGGTATTAAAAACTCTGTCTTCTTAAATTACTGCACCTTGTAAAACATTGTTTGTTTTCAAAGACTACAAACTGTATTATTAAAACTGTACTAAGGTCTAAGTTGAATGCCTTCTCAAAATTAAAATCGAACACAAAGCCTCTTAACCGTCTGGTCCGTCTCATATCTAGTCCCAACTCCGTTCAACAATTAATATAATGTGTTAAAATAACGAATCTCGGTATTAAAGTCAATAATTGAATGGGGTTGGTTTCAGGTTGGCACGACGTCGAAGAACAAAGAATGTGACTATGCGCTGGAGAACATTCATGATCTGACACCGGTAATACCAGAAATATGGTTTGAAAAACAGAATGACGACCAGAAAATAAGTTGCACCAGAAGCAAGATGGGCTCATTTCTTGCACCCACTACCGTGGGTGCTTAAACCGTAGCTTGGGCGGGCCTGTAAATATGCAAAATTGTGCACATCCTTGCATCATCCCTCCTAAGCAAATGTGAATTTACCACGCCTTGAATGATTGTATCAATGAATTGAAATATGTGTTTGTGCAACAAAATGAATCTCAATAATGCTTGTGTATAAAGACGGCGTACACCTTTTGTACACATTCTTAATAATATTCTTTGTACACGCAATCTTTATTTGTAAAATAGTTCATACTCAGATAGATAATAAATGTTTAATGCAAATAGAAATGTATGATGATTGACATTTCTTATACTACCTCCGTTCCTATTAAAACTTCCAAATAGGTTTGGCACAGAGTTTAAGATACTGGGTATTGTGTGGTAGAGAGTTGTGCAGAGGAGAGAGAAATGTGTAAGAAATGTTGTGAACCACGAATTCTTTACTAAAAAGGGAAAGTGGAAGTTTTAATTGGAACGGACGAAAAAGGAAAATTGGAAGTTTATTTAGGAACGGAGGGAGTACATTATACGTAGTACTGTGGTAGATATCAAAGCTTGTTAAGAGAGTTATAAATGAATCTGCGGCCTCACTTTCCATACAAAATGACTATTTTCTATCATGCATTTATAGTTAATTAGGGTTGAAGGCATATATATATGGGTATGTTTGGCATGACTAGCTGAAAAGATACTTTGGTGAGTTTTTTTAGTAATTGTTAGCTTTTAGTGACTGAAAAAATCTTAAAAAGAAAAGGTGATAGCTGTTTGATAAAAAGTTGACTGTTTTTATTGTTATGTTTGGTATACAAGCTATTAGGACAAATTAATACTAAAAGTCGCAGTCTTTTCTCAGATGTCACACATTGTAGCATCTCAAAAAAGATCTTTTATTTTTTGAAAAGCTCTTAAAAATTTTCATGCCAAACATACAACTAATAGCTTTTAAAGACTTTTTAAACAATACGAAAGCTAGAAGGTAGAGCTTATGGGTATGTTTGGCACAACTAGCTGAACAGATACTTTTGTAAGCTTTTTAATAACTGTTAATTTTTAGTGACTGAAAAGATCTTAAAGAGAAAAGGTGGTAGCTGTTTGATAAAAAGTTGTCTGTTTGATTTAGTTCGCTTTGGTATACAAGCTGTTAGGACTAATTAATACTCTCTGTAGCATCTCAAAAAAGATCTTTTAATTTTTGAAAAGCTCTTAAAAATTGTCATGCCAAACATAATACTAGAAACTTTTTGAGACTTTTTGAACAGTACAAAAGTTACAAGGCAGAGGCTTATGTGTGCCAAACATAGCCTATGTCTGCCAAACATACAATATATATATATATATATATGAGGGTTTTCCTAAACCATTAGTACTACTAAATCTATGGATAAAAATGTGACTATAAGTGCATGTTTGGCGAGCATAAATCTATGTCTTCTAGCTTTTGTACTATTTAAAATCTCTAAAAGCTTCTAGTTATATGTTTGGCATGACAAATTTTAAGAGATTTTCAAAAAATAATTAGTCTTAACAGCTTGTATACCAAACAGAACTAAATCTAACAGTCAGCTTTTACCAAACAACTATCACATTTTTCTTTTAAGATCTTTTCGGTCACTAAAAGTTAACAGTTACTAAAAAACTTGTAAAAATATCTTTTCAGCTAGTTGTGTCAAACATACCCTAAGTTTTATGTGTAAGTTTTATAGTCACTAAGATGTAAGATTTGAATATTTTTATAGTCATTAAGGTTACCTGAGTCACATTAATAATGTTCACTGATTTTATTGTAGTTATTGAAGTATTTGGATACGTGCCCATGCCGAACCAAACTTCCTCGAACAACCAATTGTATCTACGTGCCTTACAAAAATATTTATATTTATTACGAGTGTTTGATCTTGCGCGATATCATATCATCTTAAAGTAAAATTTCCTCCACTAAATAACCACCCCGTACTTAACTAATGTAGGAGAGGTTATATAATATGTGAGATTTCAACGAGTGTAGGGCATGAAATAGTTGTAGCTAGAGTAGTTTTTTTAAGTCAATTATTATATACTATTGATGAAAAAAACAGTATTAATTAATGCGAGTTTAGTCAGATAAAATCCTGAGTTTAATCACAAATCACCAGACAAACCACCAAATGCAAGAACAAATAAAGAAATAATAATTAGCAATAAAATATTAATATAAAAGGTAGAGAAAGGAAAACTTAGCGTAAGATCAGGGGCGGATCTAGCATTTACGTTCAGGTGGGGCCAAAATTTAATTAAATAACGTATATTACCAAAAAATGTTAAAATGTAGTATAATAATACTAGTATTATAGAAATGTCGAAGAAAAAAGTGAATATTATAGAACCGACAATACAATTATCTTTAAAGTCATAGATATCGAACCGAAGTTTTATCAGTTACCCAAATGTTTAGTGCCAATTTTTAGGCCAGTTTCTCGGAAACCAGATAAACTGAATTTTTTAACTCTAAAATCTATACTCTATGTAAAAAAAACTTATTTTTACCTACCAAACCCAATGTATTAACTAATTAATTATTCAGACCAATATTCAAAAGCCCAATGAATTGAACTAATTACTTTTTAGGACAATATTCAAATAACTCAATCAATTGAACTAATACGTTTTTTAGACTAATAAAGTCCAATTAATTGGGCTAATTAATTTTTGCATGCTAGTATTCAAAAGCCCAAAATTTATACTTTAAGATTCGTTTAAGGGATGAAGAGATTGTTTGGGAAAAACTAAAAATTTTAAAATAGCATACTCTGGGACTTGAAAAAAAAAACATTATTGCTCTCCTTGGGATCAAACATGTAACTTCTAGATTGCACAGTCAAGCAACTACCATTACACCAACATAACTTTTGTTTACATAACGACGTTTTCATTTCTTATACCATGTCTTTACAGCACATATATAATATACATACATATATGTAATTATATACGTATATACTAGTAATTTTTTATTTTGAGGTTGGGCCTAGGCCCTCCCTGGCCATATGCCAGATTCGCCCCTGCGTAAGATCGCCTGTTAACCGGACTGGCCTTGAAGAAAGATAGCCCCCGTATCTCGATAGCTACTCGAGCGGGACTGGCCAACTCGCTTCCAGGATAATCCTACTCCGTTTCAGACTTGTAGCTACCTTGACTGAAACCTTCGACCGTTGCCCGATTTGCCGTTGACTAGAGAAGAGCCCACAATAGGAGAGGAATGTAGTACGTAAAAATATACTCCGTATATATTGATATCACTATGGCTTTTCAAGAATACTAAAATGAAGTGGAATAACTCTCAAGTGGAGATGTCAGAAGTATCCACAAAGCACGTACGTATGTTTTTAATATGGTTTTGTAAGGGGATTCTCTCAAAAAGCTAGAACAAAAGGCTTATGTACGTGAGAATTAGTTTGCATGCAGCGGACTGTTCTTTTAACTTCGGAAATCAGATAAGTATAATATACCGAACAATTGGTCAAGTAAATGTTTAACCGCTCCTATAATTCTGCCGCCACGATCCGTGCATGATGACCGGTTCAACTTAACTAAGTATGACCAAGCCAAGCATTTTAAATTTTAAATTCAAAGCACACGTCCATATATAATCAATTCAATTACGTCGAATATTGTCTCCGTTTTAAAGTCAACGGGGTTTTGTTTGTGTAATACGTAACCTTCATTTAGTATTTAGTATTTTAAGTATATATTATGCTTTGATATAATCTTATTATATTAAAATAGAGTTAAAAACGGATTCAAATCTAACTAAATACATCGATATATAATCAATTCAATTACGTCGAATATTGTCTCCGTTTTGAAGTCAACGGGGTTTTGTTTGTGTAATACGTAACCTTCATTTAGTATTTAGTATTTTAAGTCTATATTATGCTTTTATATAATATTATTATATTGAAATAGAGTTAAAAACGAATTCAAATCTAACTAAATACATCAATATATAATCAATTCAATTACGTCGAATATTGTCTCCGTTTTGAAGTCAACGGGGTTTTGTTTGTGTAATACGTAACCTTCATTTAGTATTTAGTATTTTAAGTCTATATGATGCTTTGATATAATCTTTCTATATTAAAATAGAGTTAAAAACGGATTCAAATCGAACTAAATACATCAATATATAATCAATTCAATTACGTCGAATATTGTCTCCGTTTTGAAGTCAACGGGGTTTTGTTTGTGTAATACGTAACCTTCATTTAGTATTTAGTATTTTAAGTCTATATGATGCTTTGATATAATCTTTCTAAATTAAAATAGAGTTAAAAACAGATTCAAATCGAACTAAATACATCAATATATAATCAATTCAATTACGTCGAATATTGTCTCCGTTTTGAAGTCAACGGGGTTTTGTTTGTGTAATACGTAACCTTCATTTAGTATTTAGTATTTTAAGTCTATATGATGCTTTGATATAATCTTTCTATATTAAAATAGAGTTAAAAACGGATTCAAATCGAACTAAATACATCAATATATAATCAATTCAATTACGTCGAATATTGTCTCCGTTTTGAAGTCAACAGGGTTTTGTTTGTGTAATACGTAACCTTCATTTAGTATTTAGTATTTTAAGCCTATATGATGCTTTTATATAATCTTTCTATATTAAAATAGAGTTAAAAACGGATTCAAATCGAACTAAATACATCAATATATAATCAATTCAATTACGTCGAATATTGTCTCCGTTTTGAAGTCAACGGGGTTTTGTTTGTGTAATACGTAACCTTCATTTAGTATTTAGTATTTTAAGTCTATATGATGCTTTGATATATTCTTTCTATATTAAAATAGAGTTAAAAACGGATTCAAATCGAACTAAATACATCAATATATAATCAATTCAATTACGTCGAATATTGTTTCTGTTTTGAAGTCAACGGGGTTTTGTTTGTGTAATACGTAACCTTCATTTAGTATTTAGTATTTTAAGTCTATATGATGCTTTGATATAATCTTTCTATATTAAAATAGAGTTAAAAAAGGATTCAAATCGAACTAAATACATCAATATATAATCAATTCAATTACGTCGAATATTGTCTCCGTTTTGAAGTCAACGGGGTTTTGTTTGTGTAATACGTAACCTTCATTTAGTATTTAGTATTTTAAGGCTATATGATGCTTTGATATAATCTTTCTAAATTAAAATAGAGTTAAAAACGGATTCAAATCGAACTAAATACATCAATATATAATCAATTCAATTACGTCGAAAATTGTCTCCGTTTTGAAGTCAACGGGGTTTTGTTTGTGTAATTTGTAACCTTCATTTAG